TTCACTGTATTCTTACATCTGTCCGATTTGCTTCCTTTGTATAAACTTTCCTTCTTTGTGGTACAGTGATTTAGTCAAACCACCTCGCTTTATCCCTACAAGTTAGCCTGCTCCTCTACGTCCATTAGTGAAATTGCTGCCCCAGTTGGGTACTTATTTGAACCACAAAGTGCACTGCATTTCGCTGTGTTTAAAATGCATGTAGCAAATAGAAGGGCCCTTCTCCCAAAATGCGAGTTGACTACTGAATACAGACGCGAGAAAAGTCAGTACAGGCTGCTACAGGTGCTGCTTACACAAGTATAGCACTGAAACACAAAGACAGCAATTCTTAAGGGTTAACACGTAATGGGGTTCAACCAGTTGACAGTCTTCGACACTTGCGTATTTTTTTTTCTTTCTCTCGCGATTTCCACAAGTTGAGTGAACGTCGGGGTAACATGTATGACTGGCAGCAATGTGTTTCACATGGCTGTTTCGTTTCAGTGACGTTTCGTTGTGTTTTTAAATATGGAAGCCCATTTACCTACACATCAAATTTTGTACAGGCAAGCGAGAGATTTAGTTTTCAGTAAAAAGAAATATACAGGAACTTCAGAGCAGATTAAATTCGGGGACTGCTTACTGTTATTCAGCTTGGAATATTTTATTCTATCCGTTTTCATTTAGTAATATTTGTTTTAAAATATGAAAACTGTGTGCTTACGTGGTAGCGGTAGTTGTTTGGGGCACTATGCTACAAGCCGGAAGGTCGCATTTTCGATTCTAGATGAGGTCATTGGATTTTTAAATTGACCTAATCCTTCCAGCCGCACTATGGCCCTGGGGTCGACTCAGCCTCTAACAGAAATGGGTACCAGGAATCTTCCTGGGGGTAAAGGGCTGCAGGCGCATAAGGCCGACAACCTTACAGCCATCTGTGGTATGATTATCTAGAAAATGTGGGAGCATCGACGCCTCATAACCCTATGGGCCTCCAGGACCTGTTACAGAGATAGCATTACCTTCATGGAAACTATAATTCTAGTTGTTATATGTGGGTGAAAAATTTTCTCGTGGTTGGGAGAAACACAGTTGCGGGTGTCTGAGTGTAAATTCTTGCGGATTAAGATTTGAACTTAAGAGTAAGAAGATAGCAAGTTGCTGAAAATTACATAGGGAGGAGCTTCATAATATTCTAACATTTATAGCTAGGCAACGGCTCGGTAAACACATTTCCTAGGCAACACAGGCAACTATAGAACTTCGGTTACTGGGGTTTTGATACGCGCAGTGTAACTTTAACTGACTGAAAGCCGATGTCCATGGCAACGAACCGTTCAAAGCAATTAACAGCTAAGAACGCAATTACTATACTATTGAAAGAGGTGACTTCTACACGGTTCGCCGAAACTTTATTTCAGGAGAGTTTGCCTGACGAATTGAATTAAATTAAACCCGTGCGGAGGCGGGGTCGAATACCTCCACCATAGCCCTACGAGTCGTAGGAGGCGACGAAAAGGGAAGTCTCGAATCTGAGAGAGCAAAATATGTTTGCGAGTCCCAAGGACTCGGACCCGAGAGCGACTGCGCTGACGAGGCCCAGCAGCAATTCTAAACGACAGACCGGTCCTCTCGTCAGAGAGAGCGCCCCACATCGACAAACCGCAGCTGTCTGACAGTAATAAAATTCTGGTCGTAAGCCCCAGATGGATGCTTTATTCCATCATAGACTGGCAGACTGACCGTCGGTCGTAACATAAGACTCTTCTCGAATTAAATTAATTACGGGATTACTTAATTACTGACCTACGGAATTACAGAATCGGAGTTGGCTTCGTACAGATTTAAATTACCTAATTCGTTCCAGGAGCATTCAAGAGTTGAAGTGTTAAAAACTTTACTTTATGTGTTATTGTGCCAGTAATCTTTTGAAGTGTTATAATTATTTGTAGTTACGACTGATGACTGTCCAATAAATAGATTCATCTAATCCAGAACCCAGTAACTATTAGCCCCGTAACCAGGATAAGTGACAATATATATCGTTCACCATTTGTTATTAAGATGAGTAAATCGTGGGAAATGAGACGGGCGGGATGCATAACACTCTTGGGGTATCGTAAAGGAAAGAAAAAGGCTGAAAACTTAAACGAAAGAGACCACTGGAAGAGCTCGGAGCAGTTGGAAGGTTAACATTAAAACGTGTCATAAACAAAAGTTGTGTAAAAGTATGGGCTGGAGTCAGTTAGCTTCGTGTAGGATCCTGGAGCGGAGTTTCTGAACATGGTGACGACGCTCCTTACGGTTTCACAGAAGACGGACAGTTCTTTGACTAGTGAGGGATCCTCAGCTTCTCAAGAAAGACTTCTCCGTGGAGGCAGTTGGTGAGGTTTTTAATATTTCATGCTGAAGACATGTAAGAGTACCTGTATATGGTGCTGCCAAGTCGCAAGAGCGCTCTGCCGATTTTTAGCAGTGCAGTATACAAAAATCAAGTTCAAATGGAAGATCTCATAGCTTGCATGGCCAGTCCAATATGGCCGAGCAGCTGCTTACAGCGATAACGTTCTGGAATTCTATTCAGGACATTTCCGGTTTCAATTTCAGCGGGGACAACGGCTGTCTAGAATTAGGTATTCCTTGGTGTTCCTCAGTTCCTCGATTAACCAACGATCACTTCCTTCCAAATCCTTTCCAGTTCATCACTCACGTCTCATCCTGCCATTCGGCGCTTTTCAGTAACACAAAGAAGTAACACAAAAATAACGTACAGACAGGAGACACTCATGTTTGTTTTCAAACACAAATGGCTGACCTGAGCTGAACAAGGTCTGACAGGTAATGCCACACTTCATGAATTATGTATGCATACATTTATGTACGTATATGTGTATTTATTTAGTTAAATTTAGCTTGCCACCTTGTTCCATCTTAATCGTAAAGCATTTGCATCGTCAAACGCAACATGTTAAAACAGATAGCATGTCAAATTATCCCTGATTACAGTATATTTGTGCCCTGCCCTACATGTTTCGACTTATTAAAAGTCATCCTCAGCGTCATAATTCAATTCACAAAAAGACTGCTGATTAAAATATTGTTCGAACATATATTTAAAAAAGATACGAACGTGATAATTAAGAATGAATTAATTTCATAATAGCATAAAACCAGATGGTCATTCTCTTTTTGTTTGCAGATATTGTTTAACGACGTTATACGAGTATAGCGTCAAATTGTTGTATGGAATGAAGGAGTCGTGACCTGTTCTGAGATAATGTTAAGGATTTCATTAGAGAAACAAACGAGGAGCAAGAAAATTGTAGTCATGAGGGCGAGTCAGGGCTGGAAAAATATTGTTCCGTGTGTAAGGACGCCTCTGACGTATAAATGCCGAAGTAGATCTGTAGAATATAGGGAACAGACGTGGGTCAGAACCGTGGGTAGGCCCAGTAACCTGAGGTCACGTGACACTCAAGTTGAACTTCATCAGTTTCGTGAAGGTACGGCCGGCTCTAAAGAGAGCGGTGCAGAAATTGCCTGCATTTTTCCCCACCCCAAACAGAGACGTCGTTAAGCTCCAGGCGTACAGCTTTATTTGAAACGTCTTTCGTTCTGCTAAATATTTAATGAAGTGCAGGTGGAATATTTTTACTGTATAATGTGAATAGGTATGCAACCGACGGCTCTTCTTATTAATATTTAGCTTTTTGGGCTTAGGCTGTCTGGCCTAATCCAATTTGAAGTTAATTTCTGAAGGAGCACGCGGTAGCGTAGTTGGTTGAGGCAGTATGCTACAAGCCCGAATGTCGCGGGTTCGAGTCCCAATGAGGCGGCTATTTTAGTTTACCCAATCCTTCCAGCTGCACTATGGCCCAGGGATCGACTCAGCCTCTTACAGAAATGAGTACCAGGGATATTCCTGGGGGGTAAAGGGCGGTCGGCTCGTAAGGCTGACAACCATACCGCCATCTGTGAAACGACTGTCTAGAAATTGTGGGAGCCTCGACGTATCACAACCCAATGGGCCTCCATGGCCTGTTACAGGGATAGCTTTACCCTTACCTTTAATTAATTTCTGGTACTCTTGAGTTTTTTTTAGACATTTGATGGAACTCCTTGGATGGGGGATTGGCCCAGTCCAGGGCGTCTGCCTACACAGAACAATATAAAAATAGAAAGAAAGATATTCTTGCCCCGGGTGGGGCTCGAGCCCAATATCCCAATGTGTGAGCTGTCGAAAATATTACTGCCTCAAACCCCCATGGGTGGGTTGTAACAGTGAGATTGTTTCTCACATAATGGGTTTGTAACAACCAAACGCTGAAATTGGTTCAAGCTACTATACTGTTTGTGACTTTCATGGAGATCCAGGCCGCATACCGATCACCCTCATGGATTTCCTCAGTTCACACGGATGCCGAGATAGTATCTTGTAATAGGCCATAACCTCATCATATCAGTTCGATGAGGCATAGCCCAAACTAATTGTAGCGTTGTTATACGAATTATATGTAATATCAGTGGTAAGGGTAAAGTTGTCCCTGTGCTTAACTAATTAAGCACTACACCATGAAGACGTACGGTGGAGTGGTTATATAGATCAATGTATTCTTGACCTCGGCACTAGTTGGAGGCGAGTGCTCAGTTTCACGGCCTCCCACTTTACCCCGGGGAAAGAGTCCCCGGTATCTATTGAATAGGAAGGTGGGTGGGCTCCAAAGCCGGTTTGGACGTCGTGGAGAAGAGGAAATTCGAACTCCAACCCCTCTGTTGTCAAGCCCGTAGCCAGTCGCTGTACCGACTGCTCGCTCCCGACTCTCATTATAATACCAACACATGAATAAACAAAGAAGCAAACAAAACATCAGATTAGAAAGAAATTAACATTCTGGCCACTATGGTATGTAAGAACATATGCTGAGTAGGCATTTTCCTCTTGCGCACGCACACACACACACACACACACAGAGAAGTCTCGCTTGTTTGTTTATACAAGGCTGTTCTTTCTTTTGCAGAGTGCTGTATGGGAACAAAATAAAGGATCTTCCAGCGGGAATTTTCCACGGCCTGTCGTCACTTCAACTGTTGTGAGTACCAGATGACTCATGAATTAGGTCTACCTTCAGCGCCTGCTTCTTGGTTCCCGTTTCCTTCTCCTTGCACCCCTTGCTGGGCACTGCCCAAGCTATTGTTCTGCTCGGGTGTTCAGTCGAGTCACGATTTAGGAGTGTGACTATAGACGGGGTTTGGATTCATTCGTTAATTCATTCTTCAGTGGGTCCACAACCCTGTGTTGGGTCCTTGCCTCATCTTCAATTTCGTAATCTTTTTTACACAATTGGCAGGACACCTTGGACGAGTGATCAGCCCGTCGCAAGGCTGATACCTACACAGGACAACACAAACACAGAATAAACGCACACACAGACATCCGTGTCTTGAGTTGGATTCGAACCCACGATCCCAGCGTTCGAGCGAGCGAAAACAGGTCATGCCTTAGACCACGCGGTCACCGTGTTCAGTTGGAGTTCTCAGGCTTCACTAGTCGTATCCTGACAACGGATTTCAGCACAGTAATTATACCAGTCTTACTGAACCACGCACTTCAAATATCACTGTAATCATCATCATCAGTAATCTGTCACACGACAGGTCCACAGTCTCTTCCAAAACAATTCCTCCACTTAATGCGATCTAGAGCTTTCTCCTTCAAATGACAGTATCCTCTTCTGTCCCCAAGGTCATCCAGCATCTACTTACGTCTTCTTCCTCGTCTTCTTGTCACTTCTATCCGCCCCTCTATCTATCCTTCAATAACTTCTTTTAGAAGGCAGTTTCTGCGTAAAACATGACCAATCTAATTAGCCTTCCGTTTTCTTATTTCATGTAGGATATTCCTCTGCTCACTGAATCTAATTAACACTTCTTCATTTCTCACATAATCGGTCCAACTGATCTTTTCCGTCCTTCTCAAACACCACATTTCGAAACTTTCCAGATGTTTCTGATCTACTGCCCTAAGTGTCCATGTTTCAGCCCCATACAGAGCTATGCTCCAAATGTAGCATTTCACTAGTTTCTTCCTCAAATTTAAGTCCAATTTGCTGGTAAAAAGATTCTTCTTCTTGCTAAATGCAGCTTTTGCCATGGCAATCCTGGATTTAATTTCACTAGTACACCTTGCATCATCTGTTAACAAGCTACCCAAATATTTAAAACATTTCACATTCTCCAGTTGTTCTTGGTCTATCTTTATTGTGACTGGGGTTGGTTGTCTCGAAATTTTCATTACTTTTGTTTTCTCCACATTCATTTCCATGCCATAGCACCTTCCAATTTCAATTAGTCTATCAATCATGCCCTGTAGCACAGTTTCTTCCTTAGCCATTAACACAAGGTCATCTGCATATTTCACAGTTTGAATAATTTGCCCTCCTACTTTGAAGTCACCGAGCCCATCCAGAGCTTCCTTGGTAAGGCATTCGCTGTACAAGTTGAACAGAATTGGTGATAAACAGCATCCTTGTCGAACTCCTCTTCCAATCTGCACACTTCTTGTCTCCCCTCTGTCCAGTCGTACTCTAACTTTCTGATCCATGTACGATGGCACACAAAATATTTTCTTTTCACACTCTAATTCCTTTCATCCCATTTATTCTCAATCATCTTCGACTGTCGTCTCAAGAGACTCCCTCAGTTCTAATTCCGCCATGTTCTAACAATCCCTTCATCGTTGTCGACATATTTGTTGGTGCGGGAACCTGTTTACCGAGTCGTTGCCTAGCAATAAAAATCTATTTTGGCTCCGCTATTCCGACTTTCAGGCGTAATGTCACAATATACTGAATGAAGCGAAATCCGCGCACAGGCTCTCCATTGTGTCATTCCTTGTTTAAAAACAAAGTCGAAAATATGGCATGCGATGTATCCTGTGATTTTAGTTTTCAAAATACACGTCACCATCAAATGGCACAAGTTATCAGATGATAAAGCTATGGGTGCCTCGTAGTTAGAGGGGGTTTTGGAAGCGGCGCCTCACGTCATTCTCTCGAACACGCTTTAACACTTGTTTGCATAGACCGTCATGGCTGCTTGAAGTCTTGTCACGACATCTTTGGTAGTCCGGGGGGACCGCATCACTATTCCCTTTCGGGTATTCCCACTAGATCGGGCGACTGATGAGGCTACGAAATTGGTCCTCGACGTCCAATCCACCTGCCCTGGACAAGTCGCGTCAATCGCTGCTGGAAATCCTCCCTCTAGTGCCCTGGAGCTGCGTCTTGCTGAAACCATAACCTCTGCATCACAGCTAGAGAGACAACTTGAAGCAGCACCGGTCAGCAGTCAGCCTGCCAGGCAGAGGTCAGGAGCCCACGACATTACCAGCATAAACGCAGACGCTGAAGCGGACATCCTCTTCCGCGGATTGCATGAGGATTACCCCGTGGTCAGAGGTGACTGTGGTGCACGCTGAACAGACCTCTCGCGTAAAACATGCTTCCTTTGGCCACAGAATGTTATGCAAAGTGAGCACGTCCACAGTGTGTTGATGTAGCCGTTTGGAAACTTACATGCGTAGAAGACAGTCTTTCTGGAAACAGATGTGTTTTCCCACGAGTAGTGATATAGATGCACTGCGAGGTCCCTCTGTTGAGATATAGTCCCATTTGTCGTGCGGCATCTCGTGAGCGTCTCCATGGCTCACATTTCACGGCTGTAATTATGGCATCTTCGCTGGCTGGCGTCTCTACGTAAATACAACATCAATTTGTGCCCAGTACGAGTTTCCCGCAAGAGATAATGAAACATGAGTGAGGCAACGCGCCAGAATTGTTACATTGTGCCTACATTTCCTAACCTGTTAATCTTAATACTTAATTTGCTTTCAATTTTGTCACTTATTACGTTCCTGAAATATTGTTAATCTGTTAATTTTTAAAACCAGTGATGCTAATGCCTAATACAAAATAAAGTTACATAACGGAGAGCGTAAATAAGGATGAAGAATAGCATGATCATAGTTAATAAATATTTTCATGCACACAATACTTACATACATTCGTACATACATACATACATACATACATACATACATACATACATGCATACATAGATACGTACATGTATATGCATACATACATACATACATACCTACGCAAGTAAGTAGGTAGATACGTACATATACATACATACACACACATACAGCTTTACAATAATAGACGATTTGGCGTGCTGTACGATACTGAACCACAGTTTGGTGTACCGGCACATGGACAAAGGGTACAGAGAGCCTGGTGTACGGTTTTGTTCGATGTTCATCATTTTTCGTTTCTTTTCAGGTTGCTGAATGCGAATGAAATCTCCTGCATCCGTAAGGACACCTTCAAGGACCTGCACAGCCTGAACCTGTTGTAAGTTATCGCTGGACCTAGGTTAAGAAACTGCTTACTGCATGACGAAACTTGAAATTGCCGTTACCTAAATTGCAAATGGTGGATCACACAGAGGCTCTGCCTCCTCTTATCACAAGGCATCACTCTTATGCATGAGCTGTTATGCGATTTTTGTGTAAAAATACAATTTTTATCGGGAACAATGGTTTAAAGAATAGATACAAGTTAGAAGTTGCTTCAGTGATTGTGAAGAGTTCTCTCTTGTGGGATATAGCGCCATATGGTTACTTTCACCAGACTACGTGGCATTATATCGCAGAAGGCAGAACTCTTGATTAATAAAATAGTACAAAATACGGTGTGTTGTCTTGTGTTGTAAGTTTGCGGGCTAATTACTTTTAGTTCAGACTGGTCTTTCTAAATCCCATCGGAGAATATTTCCCCTTAGTGAAGCCGTCAGAACATGTAGCTGATCACTCACTGTCACACAGTGCCAAGGCTGAGGATGAGTTTATGTTTGTCTTATCGCCCTGAACACGCTTTTATGTCATGATGAGCCTTACATGTAGTGATGATAGACCAGTAAGAGATGGGACTTTTGGGTACCAAGGAGAATTTTAACCGGTCGTAAAGCGATCAGAACATACCGCTGACCATTCTTCTCAATCTAATGCCGAGATTACGAATAAGTGCAGCTTTATTTCCACGCCATTCCTTACGCCTTCATGGCATGGACGTAAAGCACAGGGGTATCAATCGTTGTCTTGAGTACTGATATCCATATCTGAGTTCAAGGACGACGCGCGAAAATGGGGAAGCATCTTTCGTTCAGACTTTTCAACTCTTCTCTTTTACCCATGTTCTCCCGTTAGAGAACTGATAATTACATGCAATTAGCACTTAATGTACCCCTCTGAGTGCAGTCTATTGTTTTACAAGCCCCCCACCGTCCCCGGCGATAGGTTTGTGGCAGTGACGGCGCTTAATTAACAATGGAACGTGACGCGAATTTTAGAACAAATGAAATAATAGGAACGTGTAGGATACTGTCGACAATTATTGCTCTGCCGTTACCGACTAATTGACCGTGATAATATTACATGCTATCGTTTCCATACGCTCTTTGAACAAATTAAACCCATAATGGAGACGTCATTACTGTTTGTCCTTCCGTTTGTCGCCAATGTCTCTCATCTGCAAACCAACTCAGTGCACTTGCATATATGGATTTACACTGTGAGTCGAGTTAGAATCAGTTCACTTTGTAAGGTTCTATCCTGTTGTGGCTACACAGCCCTTTGTTGGGCCTTGGCCGCTTTTTCAGTTTCTTAATCCTATACACAGTGGGTAGGACTATTTGGACGGGGCCTCAGCCCGTCACAAGGCCGCTGCCTACACACAGAATAACACAGCCACATAATGAAAGCACATATTCACCCATCCATCAAGTGCGATTTGAACCCCCGACCCCAGTGTTTGTGCGGGCGAAGACTGTTCATGTCTTAGACCGCGCGGCCGCTGGGGTCGGCACTCTGTAATGTTGCTGGCTGCTAAATAGGCGACCTCTATTCGAGCCTCATTTGAATTTTGATTGGTTTTGATCCATAGTAGGGGGCGCGCGGTAGCGTAGTTGATTGAGGCACTATGTTACAAGCCGGAAGGTCGCAGAATCGAATCCCGATGAGGTCATTAGATTTTCTTCAATTTATCTAATCCTTCCAGCCGCACTATAGTCCTGAGGTCGACTCAGCCTCTACCAAAAAGGAGTACCAGGAATATTCTTGGAATGTTCTTGGGGGTAAAGGGCGGCCGGCGCTTGAAGCCGATTGTCTAGAAAATGTGGGAGCCTCAAAATCTTACAACCCTATGGGCCTCCACGGCCTGTTACAGGGATAGCTTTACTTTACTTTACTTTCTTGATCCATAATAACACCTACTTTGCCTGAAGATATAGAACTTTATCAAAAAAGATAGACAATACAGGGAATCTAAGCATTACATGAAATATAGACGCATATTTTAACTCTTACGGGAAGCTCGTTTGTATGTGGCGTGTATTTGTGAGTGGTTCAAGGAAAGTGTTTAAGTTTCCGTATATTGTTGTCCATTAGCTCTGTCAAGAATTCCCTTTAGTGTTCTGTTTAGTGTATTTACTGCCTTTAGTGTTGCCTGCGTTTTTATTATCCGCTGTGAATGATAAGTATGATCATTGAGGGCCGCAAAATTCCAAAGAATGGTTTTGGAAAACATATGTAGTTCCTTGAGGCACTATGCTACAAGCCGGAAGCTGGCGGGTTCGATTCTCGATGAGGCCATTGGCTTTTTCGATTGACCTAATCCTTCCAGCCGCACTATGACCCTGGGGTCGACTCAGCCTCTAACAGAAATGAGTACTAGGAATCTTCCTGGGTGTAAAGGGCGGCCGGCGCATAAGGGTGACAACCTTACCACCATCTGTGAGCCGATTATCTAGAAAATGTGAGAACCTCGACGTCTCACAACCTTATGGGCCTCCACGGCCTGTTACCTTTTCATACTGCAATCTGGAGTACACTCTGTCCTCAATGCTGAGCGGAATATTTAGGTGATGTTATACATGAGAACCTTCACAGTCTGTGCTTATCAGTTTACAGACTTACATAGACTCTATGTATGAGAATAATATTAAAGAGGACTGTAGAGAAGTAGTAATTCTACTTGCTCAGGATCTGGTTCGCTGGAAAACTTTTGTGAAGATGGTGATGGACATTCAGGTTTCATAAAAGTAGAGGATTTTGTTATCAGCTAGTTAACTGCAAAGTGTGCCATGGAGTTAGGGGAGCCGCGATAGCTCTGTTGGTAAAGCGATCGATTGGGCCGCGCCATAGCTCAAGCGGTTAGTTGCTGGCTTCCCACCGCGGCGGCCCGGGTTCCATCCCGGATCTGGTCAAGTGGGATTTATGGTGGACAAAGTGGCGCTGGGGGTTTTCTCCGAGTACCTCGGTTTCCCCTTCCAATCTTCATTCCACCAAATTCTCCATCATAATAATCACCCGGGGCAGGCTACAATAGACCAATCAGTGGCCGCTGTGCCGAGTGAACCCAGTTGGACTCCACCCCCCCACTAAGCGAATTAAAAAGAATAATTAAAAAATTAATGTGATCGATTGAGCGACCGTGGTTCTATTCTCAGCAAGGGCAAAGCATTCTTCTCTTCTCCATATTTTCCAGACCGGCCCTGGGGCCCGCCAGCCTCCAATTCAAACGGATGCCGGGGCTTATTTCCCCGGGAATAAAGCGGCAAGAGCGTGAAGCTGACCACCCACCTCCATTTATTTTCGATGTTAAAAACTGATGAGCTGTACATTCACTTCCCCTACATATTAATGGCGTGATGCTTAATTAATTAAGCACAAGGACAACTCTGCTTTACCATGGAAAACTGACTAGAAATATCTTATGTATTTTCCAAGAAATAACTGCTAGTCTCTTGTGGTATTTGCAGATGCTGTTTTGTGTAACGTAGGATCATCTGATGTGGAAGCACATGGGCGTTTTCCAAGCCGAGGGTTACTGAGAAATTCATTTCACCGTCAAAATTTAATTTAAACTTTTTATCCAGTGTTCCTGAGTCATGATATGCATGATTTTATTTTTGCATAAATTTCGCCAAGTGAACATATAATAGGAAGGTTGTGTAGTTATCTCTCATTCTTCCTTTGCTCTTTTACATTTTCTCCTTTTCGTCCCTTTTCTTTGTTTTTTTTTCACGTTTTTCTCTCTTTATTTTTTCTTTGCTCCTTCCTCAATTTTTCACCATCTTTTCTTGTTTCTTGCTTTATCCGTTTTATATACGTATTATAGTGTAGTGCAGCGCTGCATGGGAGAGCGTTCCTATGGTAACGATGAGGCTGTGCATCTGTTGCAGATCGCTGTACGACAACAACATCCAGTCGCTGGCGAACGGAACATTCGACTCCTTGAGAAGTATCCAGACACTGTAAGTATCCGTTTTGGGCCGTTCTGCTTTGTGTTGAGAACCGTACACGTGCAGGAAATTATGTTTACCTTTGGCGCTACAGCCCCAATTTGGGCCTTGGCCTACCTCCATGGAACTCTTTGTTTTACTTCGGTTTACTAGATCTTAGGCATTCGGTAGGACTCCTTGGGCGGGTGATCAGCTCGTCGCATGGCGTCTACCCATACACAAACACAGAAAAACACATAGACAGACACTAAACATCCATGCCCTGAATGGGATTCGACTACCGTGACCGGCACGTGGACGCAATACCACTGCTTAAATTCAGTTCTAGTTGAAATTGTGGGTTTCTATGAGTGTTAATAGCCGGTCACGATAGCCGAGCGGTCTAAGGCATGTACTGTCTTCGCTTGCTTGGAAACCGGGATCGTGGGTTCGAATCCCACTCAGGGCATGGATGTGTAGTTTGTGTGTGCGCGTGTTCTGTGTTTGTGTACAGGTAGAGGCCTTGCGACGAGCTGATCACCCGCCCAAGGAGTCCTACCGAATGTGTAAGATCTAGAAAAACCGAAGTGAACGGAGAAGTTCCTGGAGGTAGGCAAAATATTGGTATTATTCTTGGCAAGAACAGTCAACCCTTCGACCTAGGTATTAGCGTAATGAAATTAGCGTCTCTCAACTCAATCAAAATAAAAATATCTGACGTTTTGTTTTCATGTCGGTGCTCATTATTTTGCCTGTAAGTATAAAAACATAAAATGTAATCTCCTATCCAAAGGGCACTGGGGGAAATTTCCCGCGGAGTAAAGAAGCCGGGGCGTGAAGCTGACCACTCACCACCTAGTGCCGAGGTCAAGAATGGTAGAGCTATACTTCCTCTCCCCCTTTGTCTTCATTGAATAGTGCGTAATTAATTAAGCACAGGGACTTTACCTTTATTATTGTTATCGTCATCATCATCATATTAATTTTTCCTTTTGTTATTTAACGACGCTGTCTGCGCTGAGACTATAGTGTCGATAATTAACGAGTATGTAGTAGTTGGTAGAATGAGAATTGGCAGGAAAAACTGAAGTACTCGAAGAAAACCTGCTCCATTGCCATTTTGCCAACCACACATCCCACATGACGTGACCTGGGATAGAACCCGGGGTGCAGCAGTGGGAAGTCGGCTGTTATTACCATCATAATCATCACTGTCAGCATCAATTCGCCGTCCCATCTCTTGTGGTTTCGGCTGCTATGTAATTTTGAATCGGAGTAGTTTTGTGCCGTTTCTTTCTTACGTCACTCGAGGCAACTGGTCAGACTAGCAGAGGAAAAATTCACCAGTAATCGTGGAGCTGTTGCAAGCTCTTAAATTAATGAGCCAAAAAAGGTCGCAATTTTGGAAATGTGAGTGACATAGCCACAGAGCGAGAACTGGAGCTTACCTCTGGAGGAAGGGGAACTACCCTGTTATTTTCCCTCCATCCGGCAGAAGAGATGGAATATAGGAGGGGACTTCTTTTCCACGTTGCTTAGTGACTAAGATGGAGGCAGCAAGTTCCGCCATAATGTTAGAAGATTCTTTTGATACGAAGTAGCCTACTTTATATGAATAAACGTGATCCTGTGTTTGTGTAACAAGTGGCTTAATGCCGTCCTCATAGCTGCAGCGTTTAGCCTCCCATGGAGGGACAGATATAGTAGCCTTCAAGTTTCCTAACAATCCCCCCAGGCGGCACTGTCATTCCCAGCTGCCCTCTCCATTCGAAGTTTGAATTTTGAACTGCACCGGCAGGGAAATGCCTGAAAAGTAATTGTGGATGCGTTTGACAAACGACGCGAGGGCTGACAGCATGCAAATGCAGTAACTGGGCGCGAAGAGTAAAGAAGAGATGGGCAGGTTCTCAGATGGAGGTTCCATCGATTTTTTTTCAAGTTTCTCACTTTTCTTGTACTCTTCTATGAATCTAGAGCCCAGGACATGATGAAAACAACTTCTCCCTGCTCCTCGTATTGTCCTGTGTCTTTCTGTCTTTCATTCTTCCTTGCTTCATTCCTTGTTTCTCCTTTCTCTCGTAACTTCCAATACGACTTCCCACATTAAACAAAAGTGTGGTTCTACAATGGAGTATACACATTTTAAAAATACTCTTCACTGTCCAGGATGTTAATTTATTATAGACACAAACATGATGTTGCAAAAATAATCTCGCTACAGACTTCACACTGAACAATTCAAAAAGTAATTTTCCGTTTACTTTATTAATTACTGCTACGTATGGGCCCGTTGCTAGGTAACGTCCCCAACATCCACGCATGCAACAATAGAAGAACGTTTTCTATGTCGTCCGTTCCGCGACTGTTGCTATGTAACGACGAGGTAAATACGCCTCTACAACAATAGAAGCTGTGTTTTTAGGGGTCCGTACCGAGGAGTTATCTTGAAGACAACTGAGGCTGCAGGAGTCAGTTGAGGGTTCGCCTCTGGAGTGTTAACCAGCGGGCAACTGAAGCAGAATAATCTTTATTGTGTCGATCAGCGCCGTAGTAAATATGATTAAGAGAGATTGTAACCAAGGTGCTAATAAAGCCAATCATCCGAACTAGAACCCGACATTTTCGTCTCGCGTACCATCTACACACTACAGTATAAACCATATCAAAATACCGTTCAAATAAAAGTTGCAGATCTTAATTAAGGTCTGTATTATGTTACGTACCAGTTATTTTGCTAAGATCTTCCAATATTTGAGATTAGAAATAAAATGAATTTTGGTTGAGCGTCTGGTAGACCATCTGATCATAATATTAGGCCGACACACACAGAAATTAAGTTCCCCTAGTAGTTTTAATGTAATCGTGCATTACCAGATTTAATAAATGTGCGTTTACATTTTGAAAACGTAAAGTTTCCGGACAGACATTCTCCCCTGCGTGCATTTGTGCAAGAAATGCATAACGAACAGGAGATAAAGATTTCCCGCCAATTTCTCTTGGTATCATCGAGTTCCTTATGACGTCAGTGCCGTCAAGTTGGCGAGCGATTTCGTGGCGATGATAAATCTCTCGGTTGACGGCGACAGTCCTGACCGCCGTGTGTAACAACCGGATTTGACCAGTTACGTATAGAGAAATTCTGATATTACCTAAAATAACATGTGTACTGACAGGATCTCGAACCTAGTACATGCAGAGGAAAAATATCTTCATTTGAATCGCATCGCACGGCGAAATTTGAGTTTGAGGCTGATTTGTCTTCCCTTACCCGGCGAAATGTCTAGATTGTTTTACGCCTGTGACAGATCGGTCAGACTACCCACCATACAGACGTGTCAGAAAAGATGCTCAGCAGGCAGGACGTAAAGATTATGCTGGTATCATAATGCTACAAAATACAGCGTGTCGCTCGTATATCTTTTGAAGTGTTTAGTTAGGGGCGGGAATATTGTGTTGAGGAGCACAGCTGAGAAGTTTGGAGGGGGTGGGTTGGTCGAGTCGAAGATGGCGCCCGTAATTGTTTTAGCCAGTTATACAAGAACAGAGGCTCAGTTACAGTTGTTGTATAGAGGCAGGATATCCGTTCATGTGTGTTTATGTTCTTTGTCAAAGCTGCTGAACGGATTTCAATGCAATTTGGGGTTAGAGGTCTACGAAAAGAGTTGTCTGGTGCGTTTAATTTTGCCCTTTATCTGTCTTCGACCCGATATAACTCAGTTGGCATAGCGACGGGCTACGGGCTGGACGGTCGGAGTTCGATTCTAGGCAGGGGCAAGATTCTTTTCTGTTTTCTCAGTGTCCGGACCGTCTCTTGAGCCCACCCACCCTCGTGTCCAATTGGAAATGGAGGCTCTTTCCGCGGAGGTAAAGCGACCGGGACGTGATGCTGACCACACATCTACGTTTAGTGTCAAGAACAAGAATGATGGAGTAATACCTGCACGCCCCATACTTCTTCATGGCTCGGTGCATAATTAATTAAGTACAGGAACAACTTAATCTGTTTTTTACCCCTATCAGTCAGTCATACCTCACACCTAACTAGAAACTCAAATGGAACTTGGCTCATCATACAAAAATTTGGTACCTGCCGTAAAATATAGGTTATATATCACTAAGATATTTTATTTCTAACATTTTCTTTCGAGGTGAATATTTAACGAAATTCAGTGAATACGGTGTAGTAATAAGTAACAGAAAAAAATGGTAGGCAGTCAGCAAACTTCAAGTGTTACTTCCCCCATGAAGGGGGTTGCGATAGTTCAATTGGTATAGCGACAGGCTATTGGGTGGACGGCCCGGGTTCGAGTCGTGGCAGTGCAAGATTTGTCTCATTCTCACAGAGTCCAGACTGATTCTGGGGCCCACCCAGTCTCCTGTGCAACAGGTACAGGAGATTCTTTCCCCAGGAGTAAAGCGGCAGGGGCGTGAAGCTGGCCACCCACCACCTTCTAGTGCCGAGGTTAAGAAAGGTGGAACTATACCTCCATTTCCCCATATATCTTCATGGCATATTGCTTAACTAATTAAGCACAGGGGCAGCTTTACCCTACTTCTGCCACGAGACTGGAGCACTAGGCACAGAACACAAAAATAAATTACTTTGAAGCGATTTTATGTCTTTTCCGGATTAGAGGAATGTCTCTCCCAAAACATTTGCCTATACCTGATATCACCGATCTCAGATGTTTAGTGAAATGTGAGACAAAATTAAGACATCTGTCTGTTCCTTTTTAACATTTTCAGCAATCTATTTTTATATTAGTATGTACTTTGATTATGCCACGATGGCTTCCTTTTGAATCTCTCCAATTCATCATTCATCAGTCATCCTACCATTCGAGCTATATAATCTACATACTGAGAGTATCGTAAAGTGAACAACGCACACACATTCAAATGAATGCCATTTTTGAAATGTGGATTTCTCTCTGTTCAGCCAGAAGCTTACAAAAGAAAAGGGGCATGTTAAGATCTTCCAGCACTTATTAATGGTCCACATGTTCCAGACATCTGGCCCGGAATCCCTTTATTTGTGACTGCAACCTGCGGTGGCTGGCTGAGTACCTGCATCGCAATCCCATTGAGACATCAGGGGCACGATGTGACACCCCCAAGCGCATGCAGCGGCGGCGCATTGAGGCATTTGAGGACGAGAAATTCAAATGTAAGGGTAAGCGGTATTCTTTGTATGGTCGGCTAAGGCCATTTCCTTGTGACGGGGGAATGCTTCTGGTTCAGGAAAAAGCTGAATTGACAAGTCTGAACAAAATCAGGCTTGAAAAAGTTTACATTGTCAGAGTTGATAGCATTATTCACAATAATTATGCATTTACATTTGCACAGTCATTAAGAATAAAACTTGGTCATCATCAAGTCAGTGGTTGTAGGATGGATGACCACTTTGTGCAACTCACCGTCACTTCTAGGCTTAGCTGCTCTGATCTGGGTGACCATTTCTGCTGCCCACTGTGCTCACTTTGTCTTTTTGTAGAGGGCTGAGCTCTCAGTCTGTCAGTATACAAAGACCTGCATGAATTTTAGGAAGCAGATTCTCTCAGGTTTTCATGATGGCAACTACAATTTTCTTCCTATTATATTATGATCAAGGGGTACACAGTAGTGTAGTTGGTTGAGGCACTATGCTACAAGTCGGAAGGTTGCGGATTGGAATCCTGATGAGGTGGATTTTTTCAATTTACCTAATCCTTCCAGCTGCACTATGTCTCTGGGGTCAACTCAGCCTCTAACAGAAATGAGTACCAGAAATGTTCCTGTGGGGGGTAAAGGGTGGCCGGCATGTAAGGCTGACAACCTTACCGCCATCTTTGAGCCAATTGTCTAGAAGTTGTGGGAGCCTCAACCTCTCACAACCCTATGGGCCTCCACAGCCTGTTACAGTGATAATTTCACTTATATTGTGACCAATGCATTGTCCATTAAAGATGACAGGAAAATTTTTTCTTTATCCCTTTTTAGCCTACTTTCCTTATTTTAAGACATAAAAGGGAGCTTATGAGTTCACCTTGCTGTCTATCTGCCTATAATTATATCCATTCATGTCTGCGCATCTCTCCATGTATCTGCCCTCTAATTTTTATTGGGAGGCTTATGAGCTCACCTTGTAGCCTGTGTTTTTTTGTTCCCCTCTCTGCCATCATTGCTAGTTATAAATAAGGGCCACCCTGTTGTCTGTGTCCCTCCTAATTTTCTTGTTTTCTGTGCTGTCCATGTCATATCAAAGGAAAGGTGGCGATCAGTTCTTTCTGGAACTTCTTGTTGTGTCTTTATCGTCTTTCTTCCTTTCTCCCTTATTGTGTTCCCATCCAATTTATTGTTTGTCCTAGCAGCAACCTATGCATCGACTTTCTTTGCAACTACTCATAACAAGGGACTTGTAACCTCCAAAATCAGTGCTTGACAACGTTAACAAACCTGTTGTTTGTAGGACTTTTATGATTTTAATATCATTGACAAGCAAAGACCAATGCTGAAGAAAACCCATGTGGAGCTTGTCCAGTCAGTCAGGTTTCCACAGAGTGTGTCAAGTTTAAAAAAGTTGTTAATGAATCTAGATTTTAGGTGGAAAAAGGCGAAGGCCAATTGACAAATCCTTGTGGAACACTACAGTACCAGAGCTTTCAGGATACCATATTGAAGGAGCATAGCAAAGTACAGAAGTGAAGGCAGACCTATAGATTTTAGATGAGACATTCATCTATGGATATTATTCTTTGCCATTCAGTTGGAGTGGCCTTTTTTTTTATTCGCTTAGTGGGGCGTGTAGCCTGCCCTAAGTGATTATGATGATAGGAGAATTTGGTGGAATGAAGATTGGCAGGGGACACCGAAGTCCTCAGAGAAAACCCGCCCCAGCACCACTTTGTCCACCACAAATCCCACTTGACCAGACCCGGGATTGAACCCGGGCCACTGCAGTGGGAAGCCAGCGACTAACCGCTGGAGTTATGGCGCAGCCGAGTGGCTTTCTTGCTTCTGTCTCTAAAGGGAAACAGTAGAGTACAGTACATGCTGGCAGTAACCTAGGTTTTGTAGCGACCTCTGTAGTCTAGAGGTAACGTTCCCACCTCATGACTCGTGGTACGCGGGTTCAAACCCGGCAGAGGTCGTGGAATTTTTAAGGGCGGAAAAATTCAGGGAACAAGTCCTCTGGGAGGGACTTTAAGCCGTGGGTCCCGTGTCGTAGCTTTACGGCACGTAAAAGAACCTCATATATCCAAAGGAGGTCACTGAGCTAAATTCAAGGACATTTCTCGCCCAACAGTAGTCTCTAACGCCTCTGATAGATGGAGGAAGCATTATAGATACCGCCAAGCCAGTAGAGGCCGAACTCGCTGGCTCGGTCGGGACTGATGGTACGCACCAATATTGGTAGGGTATAGAGACTGGTAGAATATCATAGAGGGATGCACAGTGGACCAATACTGGTCTCAGTGCATGGGGAAACCCACCCTCTCCAATAACTAACTAACTAACTAACCTAAGTTTTGTTCCTAATGCATCCATGCATTTTAAATCCCATCGGACTACAGGAGATTATCATAGTGACATAAATTTCAAAATATTGAGATGTGCTTAACAGTGAAGATGATTTCAAACCTATACTCATACAGTGTTTTGGTAATAGTAAATGCTCTGTACCACAGTGTTCGGATAGCCCCCTGATGTTGTGTTAGTTACTAGACACAGGGTTTGGATTGATAATTAGATTTATTGAATGTTTATTTCTTGTAACTACACATGACAATAACAATCTCACTGATTTACACATTCTATAGCTCACTATAGCTACAGCACACATAAAGTGTTTTGTTTATTCACTGATCATTGCTAGATAGCTGCTGCTAACAGTGGAACCCAAGACAATTAACCACCAACTTTGACCTCTGACTGACTTAACTTCTTGGCACTCACTGCATAGATAACATCCCATCTAAAAGTTCCTCTGTTGTTGAGTGTTGATGTGCTGCTGCAGAAACATGTTTACCACGCCATAGCCTAGGAATGGCATCCCTTCTTGTTCCACTAGTCAGGTTTTCAACTGTGATGTTGCAATATCTTGGCAAATAACATCTGTAAACCAAATTTTATGAATTAATAAAAACGCCACAGACCAATGTATTGAAAATACCTTGCATAGTGGCATTGTTATAACCATGCTATTTTGCTGTAAAGAATCTGCAGTTATTTTCTGCATGTTCCATATATTGGAGGTATGTGGTAACATAGTTGGTTAGGCACTTACAAGCCAGAAGGTCACAGGTTCGATTCCCAATGAGGGCATTGGATTTTTCAGTTGGTCTAATTCCTCAAGCCGCACTATGGCAATGGGGTCAACTCTGCCTCTTAACAGATATGAATGCCAGGAATCTTCCTGAGGTAAAGAGCACACGTTGCATAAGGCTGACAATCTCACTGCCATCTGTGAGCCAGTCATCTAGAAGCCTCAACATCTTGCAACTCTACAGCCCTCTATGGCCTGTTACAGGGATAGCTTTATGTTTTACCTTTATGTCCCATATATTGGATAAATATGGCAGATATTCTTCATCAGAATGGTAGTTTTGAATCAACACGATACATTAAAGTACCTTGCTTTTGAACCTGTTCACCACTATTTTACTCTGCATTCCCCTAAAATGCCAACCAGAGACCAGGAAGAATAGATACCATAGAACTGTGGAGTATGTTTCCTTTTTTCTAGAAGTAATGCTAGTGGGGTGGGACTAAGTCCCTTGTACTGTGGCCACTTCTGGCCTATTGTACCATTATCCAGAAGTAAGTATATGATCAATGGAAACCTTTCTGCAGCAGAAGCAGAAAAATATTTGGGTTCCTCCAGAATTTAATTATAAGCACATTTTACTGTAGTAATGAACACTGTTGCTATGTTAACAATACATCTTTTGGTATAAACTACAGTCAGTGTGTGCTGATTACTTGATTGCAGGTGTGGAGGAGTTCCGAACTCGTTTGGCAGGAGAATGTCTTATTGACAGTGCATGCCCCAGTGGCTGCTCATGTGAAGGTACTCTCGTGGACTGTTCAGCTCGTGGACTCAAAGAAATCCCCAAGGACATCCCAATGTACACCACAGAGCTGTGAGTTTTGCTCGATGCATGAACCGTTCATGCTACTCATTTCACTCTGAACTGAAAAAAATCAAAGAATGGCTGGATGTATTGTATTCATCATCATCATCATTATCATCATCATCACTGGCATGACAGCCCATTGTGAGCCCTGGCCTTCCTCAGGATTGCTTGCCATTCTTCTCCATTCAATGCTACATTCCTCCAGTTCTCTACACCCAAAATTCTTATGTCGTGCCACACACATTCTTCCCCATTGTATTATATTATAGGAACAAAATGAGTGAATACTGGTTAACTGAACAATATAAAAAATGGCTGGGTTAATAATAAAAAAGTGAATGAATAGTAGACAGAAGAGTATCTGAGGTCAGACAGTAGCATCTTGCCCCAGTGGGAATGATGTGGGAAACAATGTGTGGACTCAACTCCACCCACTGTTTCCCATGTGTTCCAAGCTGGGACAGGATAGTGCTGCCTGTCTAACTGTGCATGCTGCTCCCCAGATGGTCTGTGCTTGGTCAGCCCTCAGCTTTCTTTGCATGTAGAAGGGGTGGAGGAAATAGTGGAAGCATTAAGAAATTTAGGAATAGAACTTCTTTGTGTTGCTACAATGAAAGTAGTGCAGTTGGCAACACTGAATGTTCTTCTTCTGTTTCTTTGCACTTTGTAGTGCTAGGGTCAGTGCATTAGTGATTGTGCTGAGTGACAGTCCATGTGAAAGAATTCGAAAATTGAAGACTTATCTGATTTTGAAAGAGGACAGATCGTTAATGGAAGTTTAGCCGGAGCATTTGTGACAAAAACTGCCATATTATGTGTATTGAGAGTGGCAGTTTGTAAGGTTATATCAGCATACACAAATCATGGGAAGACAACATCAGAAAAATGGAACAGTGGGTGAAAATCAACACTGACAGAAAGAGATCATCATATATTGAGAAGGATTTTTCCAGAAAATCTCAGAACCAACTGCGGCACAAGTGACAGCAGAATGAAACATTTATCTTGGAGACCCTGTTTCCACAAAAATTGTCCAATGTGAGCTTCACAAATACAACACAAATTCACAGTAGGGCTGCAGTTGCTAAACCTCTGATTACTGAAAATAATGCTCAGATGCATAAACGATGGTGTCACCACCATAAAATCTTGATATCAGACAACTGGAAATGCTTGTGTGACATGGTCAAATGAGTCGTCCTTCACACTGTTCCCTGTATCAGGAAGAGTTTGTGTTTAGAGAACACCCAAGGAAGCCTACAATCTGGAGGACCTGGTTCTAACAATGAAACATGGGAGAGAAGCTGTGATGGTTCGAGCAGCAATATCATGGCATTCTATGGGTCCCATTATTACCCTTCATGCCAAATTACCGCAGGGTAGTATGTGGACAGGTTGAGTAGTTGGGTGCAGCCCATTATCCAGATGTTATTTTCCAAGATGACAATGCTTCCATTTATAATGTTATATTTTAGCGTCCTGTTGCACTGATTTTCATCCATGATATGTATACAGTGGCCGTCTTGCAGTGCACTCAATTTCACCTGTCACTTCACAACATGTTTCAGCAACACAGTGCCATCATCAGGTGTCCCAATTACATCAATCTGTTGCATTGCTTGCAATTGCATATGTTTTCACAACACCATTTGAAAAGTATTTAAAAAGTCCGTATTTGTCAACTATGATAAATTTACACTCGCTAAAACTTGTTAAAATAATTCATCTTATTTGTCTTAATTAAAACTTGCATGTGGTTCATTCACTACGGGGTCGTTTTTCTTATTTTCTGTGTAAACCGCGTCCATTTACTTAATTGAAGCTGTTCAGTCATGGTTTGAAGAGCATGAAGGTGAACTTCAGCATCTTCCCTGGTCAGCACAATCACAAAATTTGAACATTATTGAACCACTCTGGTCATTTTTGGAGACCAGAGTGAGGAACAGATTCCCACCTCCTACATTTCTAAAGCAACTTGAAGATGTTCTTCAAGAAGAATGTTGTAAAATTTTCTCTAGAGACTGTTCGAAACTTTTGCATTTCAAGAAGGATTGTGGCTGTATTGAAGGAAAAAGTTGGTCCAACGCCAAATTAATATAGAAATGTGTACACTATCTGTACTGGTACCAATATTTTGTCCAACCCCTGCACATAGCATGTGAATACAGCACTCATCACATCAACCTCTCACGGTGGAAACAGAATCTCTAAAATGCCATGCAACAACTCCACATTGACATGGCTGATTACCCAAAAAGGGTTCCCATATACTGCAAGCATGAAAGTTTCAAAACATATGTCAATAAGCTCTATTTGTAATTTAATTGAAATTAATTTGTCTAGAGCACAGGTCAACTCAGCCTCTAACAGAACTTAATACCAGGAATTGATTAAATAATTTTCTTGGGGAGTAAAGCACGGCCAGCATGTAAGGCTGACAACCTTACCGCCATCTTTGAGCCTATTATCTAGATAATGTGGGACCCTCGTCTCACAACACTACGGGCCTTCATGGCCTGTTACAGGGATAGCTTTACTTTTTTTACTTTAGAACACAGATATTATGAGCAGAAAGACAGGTAGACAGAGAGTAAAGCTTATGAATTATTTTTGAAATATGCATAGAAATGCTTCTGTAATGAAACTGTGATATGTTGTGCTGGTCCTTTTACTTCTCTTTCTGTTTCAGTTTGCTGAATGACAATGAAATTGGACGCATTAAATCAGATGGCTTATTTGGAAGGCTGCTGAACCTACAGAAACTGGACCTGAGACGGAACAGAGTGACAGGAATTGAAGAGAATGCATTTGAGGGAGCAGCACGCCTCGCTGAACTGTATGTAATCATCACTTGTTAGACCATGACATCACCGCCGCTGCCACTGCCACCGCCACCACCACCACCCCCATCACCATTACTTAATATGCCAAGTACCATATTGTCACGTGTTGGGTGTATAATGTAATAAATAACTTCACGCCGTATTTGATATAGCATATTTTATTTCACACTCGCTCTTACAATCGCACCATTTTCAATCTCAACTTTACTGCCATTGGCAATGTCACAAATACTAGACTGCAATTAACTGGTTACTCTTTCTCTAGTAACTGGCTCAATCCTCACTGTCTAATCACTTACTACTAACTAACTACTGAATACTCCTCTTGAATAGTGTTCGCTGCTCCTTATTTAGCCTTGTTACGGACAACACAGAAAACAGTTATGTAATAGACACCACTGTTGCGTAACGTCATGTTTGCTGATAGCCTAGCAATGCTGTCGGGAGTTGTTTACTGCTGCATAGCAACCACAGCATCCCGTGTTACATCACCGCGGCAATGGTTGCCTGCTGCAGCCACTCCTCTGCCATGTCACCGCGGGGGAATGGGGGGTTTACCGAGAGTTGCACACTGATGGATGGAGTGGGGGTTTGTGACGTCACTCGCGAGGTCAAAGAGTTCACGTGACACCCACCTCCCACTACGCCATCCAATATATTGTTTTATGACACAGCCTTCTCTGTTCTTATCTCTTCTTCCACAATCCCTCATCTTTTGTCTGTTTTTATTCTTTCCTTCATATATTTTGTGTCTCTTCTGTCACTTCAGTCTAATACCTGTTCTCACCATTGGTCTTTTTGTTAAATGTCTCTATTTGGATGCTCTCAAAGCAATTGTGTTGTATGTGCTTAACATATTATTAATATAATTCACTTTAATAAAAAAACATCTGACACAGCTGTACAATTTAACCTATTCATTACAACACTCCTTTTCACCCTACATATTTTGGCAGACTTCTTCCACCTGTAGGGGTGTTGAACCAAGTCTTTGAAAGCTATTAAAAATTGTATATATCATGTCTGAACTGTATTAAAATACAAGAAATTAATGATTCCTGAAAGCAGATACCAGTCGGGTATTCTTTGAGCTCCTTAGATGCTGTGTGCTGTACAGGTAAAATTATGTGGAAGGGGCTTCATGTGTTATTGCTTGTCTGCAATGCTGTGTTTTCTCCATTTGCTGTCAGGTTATGCAGTAGTGTTCCTGCTGTACCATGAGATGTGGCTTTACTAATTTGGCAATGCTACAACCTCCTACCTCCTACCTACAACCTCCCCATGTTGTGACATTTCCAGTGTGTTCATTATCTTGGTTATCTTCTGGCTCTAACTACTTTTATAATGTTGCATAGTACAGTGCTGACCTCTGGATCAAATGACGAGGTTACTGGCATCCATGTCCCCTCTGTGTACATGTATGCATCAATAGAACCTGAAAATTTGATGAATTTTACTCATATTCGGTATGCAAGAGTTTATTTTAGGTCAGTGGTCAGTGAATCTGAACATTCCAGCTCCAGAAATAGTTGCCTTTCAGATGGGGCCAAAAACATAAAATGGATATTTTCTTGAAAGCAACTCAATGATTTTGATTGCATTTCAGTACTTTATGAAGACAATCTCCCTAAATAAAATTGAATAGGTAGTGTCTTCAAAAAATAGCCGTACACACACTAGAGATCTAAACACAAAAGTCCTCTTGCTCGAAACTTGCTTTCATTGGTCAGATGGATTTTATTATTTTTAAGTATTCAGCAATCAACAGTGATCTAATGAGCAACATTCAATTTCATATCCTAGGTAATGTACTTGAGCTCAGTTGTATATGAGAAAGTATGCGCATGTCTTTGCACAGATTTTTATTGTAATCCCCTTAGTTTCTAAGAAAGTTTTTTAAGGTTATGAGGGTGGTCCGAATTTAAAGGTACAGCACCAGATGGCATCAACATATTTATTGCAAAAAGAATCTTTAATAAAGTCAAGAAACACTACATACTAATGTTTATTTTTCCACATAGTTACTGTTATCATCCAGACATTTATCCCATTCTACAAGTTTAAATATTCCTTCATTACATTGTTCCTTTCCAAGGGATGTGAATTATCGCGCAACTCTTTTTTGCAATGTGTTTTGGTCCTCAAAACTCTTTCCTGATAAAAAGGTCTTAAATCGCCTGAAGAGGTAGAAATCTGATTGTGCTAGATCAGGACTATGTGGTGGATGCTGCAGAACTTCCCACTTATGCTTTTGCAACCAGGCTGCTGTCTGGGCTGAAGTGTGAGGTCATGTTCCATCATGCAGAACCCTCACAGCAGCAGTTCATTGTCCTGGTCTCTTTTGTTTAACGGCTTCCAACAATTTTTCAAAAGTGTCACAGTATTTGTCGCTGTTGATCGTTGTTTTTGGTGGGAGAAATTCACACTGCAGGAAGCCATCACAATCCCAGAACACAGTCACCACTGTTTTTTTCACGGATTACTCAATTTTTAATTTTTTGTGGTGTATGAATGAGGATATTTCCAAGTCATGTATTTTCTTTTTGACTCTGGGGTGAACTCATAAACCCATGCCTCATCTCCTGTGATGATTCTTTCCACAAATGATCCTCCTTCAATTTGGTAACGGCAAAGATTTTCAAGCAAAGCAGCCATTCTTTTGCTTTTGTGCTCCTCAGTGAGCATATTCGGAACCTGGCAAGAAGACACTTTATGGAAGTTTAAATCTGAGATGATTTCATGAACAGTGCCTTCTGCGATACCTTTCATTTCGGCAATTTCATGAACTTTGATTCTTTGATCTACCCTTATCAAACCTTCGATAATGACACAGTTTTCATCAGTGTGCGAGCTCCTTTTTTTTTATTCGCTTAGTGGGGGTTGGAGTCCAACTGGGTCCACTCGGCATGGTAGCCACTGATTGGCCTATTGTAGCCTGCCCCAGGTGATTATGATGATGGAGAATTTGGTGGAATGAAGATTGGCAGGGGAAACTGAAGTACTCGGAGAAAACCTGCACCAGCACCACTTTGTCTGCCACAAATCCCACTTGACCAGACCTGGGATTGAACTGTGCGAGCTCCTTGGTCTGCCTCTGTGTTTTTGTGGATCATCATTCAGTGCTGTTCGGCCATCTTTATACTTGATTGCAGCACTTGGACACTTCCTTTCAGCTGAAAACGTTCTGGCTGTAAACACTCACAAACCTGCAATGAATCTCTCTCTGTCTTACTTCTACTTGCAAAAGCCTGACCACCACATGGACCTTAAACTTTGAATAATTTTCAATCAAAAGACCATTTTGTTCGCTTGTAAAACATAGACATGTGGATAGAGAACAACAACTCTAGCACAGCTACTTCTCTGCTACTCGACGTACCAATTCATGCAAGTGACATTGATACGTTTCGCACAGGCCATATATAACACTTGTACCTTCAATCTCAGACTACCCTCGTGTTTATTGAGCTCACAAGTGGAGTTATTGTGTTTGATTTCAGGCTGCTTTCAGAAAACAAGATCAGAGAAGTTCATAACAAGATGTTTGTTGGTCTGACAAACCTAAAGACACTGTAAGTATTGTATGTGCAGTCTTGAACTAGAAATGTATCAAATTTATAGACCATTAAAACTGTATGTTTACAGCAGCTTCATCTGAGGAAGCTGACTCAAGCAGTAACACTTCTGACTTGTATTTAGATCTTATCCAGGGTACTAATTATAATGGACTTCTTCAGTCCCTCCAGAAAATTACTAGGATAATTACTTGAATTCTGCTGCAGTCACGTCTTTCTATGTCCTTCCAAATTTATTTTTCACTATCAACCAGTCATGTAACAGTATATGGTCTTGGCTTATAACAGCACTGCTATAAATTACAAATAAATACACAGTAAATCCATTAGATTTTGTGCTATACTAATGTATTCCTGTATTGATAAATTTGTAGCTTTTTCATTTCTAGAAAAACATGTTATGTTGGCTGATAATTTACTATTTTATTTTTTATTTACAGTTAAATTTGTTTAGAAATATTAACTGTTAATTACTATGAGATTTATTTACATAATACTGTGCAGGACTTTTGTGTTTTAATGTTTTGCCAGAAGACTTCTGCCTGACTGTTGCTTAGCTTGGTTGGTTGTGCACTGATATACGTTGCATTTTATTTATTTTAAAGAATCTTCAACAGTGGGAGCTTCTATGTTTGCTGGTATCACCGTTCAGACTCTCCACACTTGATCTCTCTCATATGCAGTCAACTGACCCACAAACCTCCTGAGAGATAAATTTTATCATACTAGACTTGACCAAGTTGCCAGTGCAGCTGAAACTTGTGGCCTCCATAAAATAATAGGACAGCATCTGTACAGTAAACTCATTATTTCTGCAGGAATATAAATTTTGTTGATTCTATTATTATTTTACAGTGTTCTGTATGACAACCATATAACCTGCGTGATGCCAGGATCGTTTGACTTCCTCACATCATTACACTCACTGTAAGTACAGTGCTATCAAGTGTATGAAAAAATATATTCTTTTAGTATTTCAAATACAAGTACATTGATTCAGTCACAGTGAAAAGCATTTTACTTTAAGAAAAATTGTGCTAACCAGGACTTAAGTGTTACATCAGACAAGCATATTTTTCATAAATTACAGTTGTAAATGGTGCAAATAAAAAATTTACTGAAGTGCAACAACAACAACAACAACAACAACAAAAACAATGGCGATAAAAAACAAGGATTATTTTACAAGAAAATTTTAATTTTCAGTAATTGTGGACAGATTGCTTTTGCACTAGTTAGTGAGAGCACAGGAAACTTTTTTCTTCCATGCCATATTTCAAGAAAGTAAGTTCATTTATTCCTGAACAGATGTCCATAGCTGATTACTCAATTGGCCACTGATATATTAGGTATTATAGCAAATGAATTATATCAATACCTTAAACAGCAAGAAAATGGAAGGAGATTTTTAGCAGAAAATTCTATCTATCTTTGCTGGCATTATAGTGGCTAGGAAGGCCATTGAATAAAAGTGAGTGTTTCATAAGATGTCACTGTCTTGAACATTAGAAGGCACATGGTTCTGAAGATCATTCACATTGTTCTGATGTCATCATGGGAATATTTTCTGTGGACACTGCATATTTTCCAGTGAAGATATACCTTATCCTACTTTTAAGGCTTCCTTGTCTTCGTATCAGAATTAGTCTCATGGTCTGTAGAGAGTAAGTATTATTCCTTCTACCTGAAGATTAAGACAGAGTCACATATCTTATCCAGACTGTGGATAATGTTCAAGGAAGTTAATCCCTTTACAAATGGACATACTTGTCTGTGTGTAAATGTTTTAAGAACCATCACCAGTTAGTTGACTTTTGATATAGATTTATTTATAGAATGAGTAACTGTTTTCTTTCTTTCAGGAACCTCCTGTCTAATCCCTTCAGCTGTAATTGCCACTTGGCCTGGTTTTCTGAGTGGCTGCAAAAGCATGACCTGAGTGGGGGGAATCCACGCTGCCACACACCTCCACGAGTGAAGGATGTACTAATTCATGAGCTGCCACATCACGAGTTCAAATGCACCAGTATGTTGCAGAAAGACTTAGTACTTATACAGACCTCCAGTTCATCTTTCCATTGTCTCCAGGTTTATCCTCTTAACCTTCATTCTGTAGCTCTGTAATTCTGTGCTTATTTGGCCATCAGCTTTCACCCATTATATCCACTGGTCTTTCAGTTTCTTCCTAAACCTTGTAATATTTTTGACCAAAGGTCTATTATTGAATTTCAGGTCATTCGGAATATTGCTTTATCAAGCTAAGGGTCTGATATGTTATCATTTCTGCTGCTTCTGTTCCTCTTTTGTCTTAACCCATGCTTATGCCTCATTGCCCTATTTTACCTTTGGCTTAACCAGCAGTTTGTGTAATTTCAAATGTGTACGAGGTGTGTTCAAAAAATTACGGGAATTTCCGTATTTTGGAAAAAATATTTATTCATTCGTCTACATTAATGTTGTCGCCTTCAAAATAGTCCCCATTCGATATTCCAGCGCTTCTTCCAATCATCGAAACACTTCTCAAACTCGATTTTTGGGATAGCCTTTAGCTCTTTCAGCGATGCGCTTTTAATGTCATCTATGCTTGTAAAACGACGGCCCTTTAAGGTTCTCTTTATTTTTGGAAATAGGAAAAAGTCACACGGAGCCATGTCTGGCGAATATGGAGGCTGGGGCATCGTTACAGTATTGTTTTTGGCCAAGAATTCACGAACAAGCAACGAAGTGTGAGCAGGTGCATTATCGTGGTGCAAAAGCCATGAATTGTTTTTCCACAAATCCGGGCGTTTTTTTCGGATTGCCTCACGCAAACGGCGTTGAACTTTCAGGTAGTACTCCTTATTGACCGTTTGACCTTGAGGCAAGAATTCATGATGCACTATGCCATTAAAATTGAAGAACACAGTAAGCATAACCTTCACGTTCGAACGCACTTGTCGAGCCTTTTTCGGTCTTGGCGATCCAGGATGCTTCCACTGAGACGATTGAGCCTTAGTTTCAACGTCATATCCGTAAACCCATGTTTCGTCACCTGTTATAACACGTTTCAGTAATTCTGCATCATCGTTGACTTCCTTTAGTGATTCCTGAGCAACTTCCATTCGCCGCTGTTTTTGTTCAAAATTCAGCAATTTTGGAACAAATTTTGCTGCCACGCGTTTCATACCCAAAACATTCGAAAAAATTTCATGGCATGAGCCAATCGATATGCCAACATCATCAGCGACTTCTCTGATTGTGATTCGGCGATCATTCATAATCATTGCTTTCACTTTTTCCACGTTTTCATCGGTTGTTGATGTGCTGGGGCGTCCGGGGCGCTCGTCATCTGCAACGTCTTCACGGCCATCTTGGAAACGCTTATACCACTCGTAAACTCTTGTTTTACTCATAACAGACTCACCATAGGCCTTTGTTAACATTTCACACACTTTGTAACACTTTATTTCATTTTTTACGCAAAATTTGATACAAATTCTTTGATCCATTTCTTTTAACAAACGAAAATCGCCAAGCTCATAAAAACACGTCTAACCTTAGCGGCTGCCACAGACAAAGTAAGCAATGAATACAGCTGAAAATTTTATTGTACTTCAGGGGCATGTATACCAACATAATAAAAAAAAAATTTTGACAATTGGACTCTCCAAACCCGCGAAATTTTAAAATTCCCGTTATTTCCTGAACACACTTCGTATTGGAGGTTACTGTATCAAGCTTCCTGTAAATTATCCATATAAATGTTTGAATGTTTTCTGTTCATTTGTCTCAGTATCTGGGTTTTCTTTTAAGAAAAGCTATGATGGGAAAAGGTAGGAAAAGTATAAAAGCTTTTCACATTCAAAATATTCATCTACAAGTTGCTGGAAGCTGGTGGGTTTGCTGCACTCTTCACAATACATTATTAGTGTTTTTTGCTTGGTGAAGTCTGAACAGAGAGTTGTTACTTATGTCTCACCTAACACTCTATTGATAAATGTTACTTATTGTAACTGAAGATGACATATGAGGGGTGACTTTTTCTGCAGAAAGACAAAAGAGCTAGTGTTGAGTTGCAAGATTGCTTCCAGCTGAACTTACCATGTGTTATGTTATCTTCCAAGTGAGTATAATATTGGAAATTTCTATTATTCATTTGGTGCACAGTACTGTGCCTTTACTCTGCTGTCTTACCTTTTTGTCAATACACTGTCCTAATTACATCACCACAGGACTTTGCTGTGACTTCTTCCAACTTACTGACTCCATCCACTGATTTACTAATTTCTGCTTCTTGCTTCAAACAGTTAAGTAAAATAAGAGTTATGTTTTTTGGCTGTCTATACAATATGCAGTGCTGTGGCCATTTGAAGACACAGTACAATGTCAATACAGTAGAACAGACATCCCAAATACTTTCTTTCACAAATAGGTTTCAGGAACTTGTGATAACTGGATTGTGAGTAGAGAAAAGAGCTTGATGCTGAGTGCTCTAACTCTCACCATGTGACAGCATAGCCATCATCTATGAAGTGTACAGTGGACACTGCACATAATTAATACAAGCTATATAATTTGTTGACAGGTGACAATGACCAAGGCTGTCTGGGAGACAACTACTGCCCCCCCAAGTGTATATGTACAGGCACAGTAGTGCGCTGCAGCAGGGTGCGACTTCGTGAGATCCCACGTGGGATTCCCCCTGAAACATCAGAGTTGTGAGTATTGTCTCTACTTGCTTGGATGTTGCAGAAATGTGAGTAAATATAGGAACTTGAGGCATTTAGGGAATCCATGAACACTAATATGCTGAGAATCATTGATTGAACACACAAACATATGTCTCTGGTGTTGATGGAGGAGTTATTGTAATAAAAAGATAAAGCAGTTGTCACTGTGCTTAATTAAGCACCATGCCATGATGCCATAATAGGAATGGAGACATAGCTCTTCTCATTATTAACCTTGGTGCTAGATGGAAGGGAGTGTTTAACTTTACACTTTGGCTGCTTTACTCTTGGGCTATGGGCCATTAGTTCTTACTGGGAAGGAGGTTGGACAGATCAAAGAGCTAGTCTTGATATGATAATGAAGATAAAATGGAATAATTTAAATGGTGAATGTACTTCTACACTAATATGAATAAAAATATATTCAATAAATTATACAGATGACCTTTTATCCACTTCTGCTCCTTTGATAGACACATCTGAACTACTGGAGGTTAATACAATACCCTCATGACTCCAAATAATTAATTTAATTTTTTCAGTTAACCATTTTACTTCTGTGACTCAACAAATATGAGTGCCAAATGAAAGAGACAACTGTACCTGTACTGCAGGTCAAGTTACTATAAATAAACCAAAGTTCTATAGTTGACTGTGTTACCTAGAAAATGTGTTTACTGAGCCGTTGCCTGAAATGTTAAAATGTAACTATAATACAATGATTATGTAGTTTTGTTGCATTATTTGTTTTCTAAGTGAGGAAAAGGAATGTACATTTTTAATACTAATTAAACACACTGAAAAATTAGATATTTATGAATTACACTCTGTGAATACTCTTGAGTTTAAACATTCTGCTCTGGTTACTCAGTAATCTGCCCAGGTAGCAAATACATTTGAGTGAAAACTGTCTACAGTACAGGTGGACCCAAAAGGTTGTATTGTATTCTGCTTTTCTTACATGACTGTTGTAATCTTGTTTGTTAGCACCATCTGGCATTTTTCTTCATATTTTCAGGTACCTGGATGTCAATGAGATACAGACAATCCATGCTGATCGGCTTAGCCATCTGAAATCACTTACCAGGCTGTGAGTACTCGTCTTATCACACGTCACTGTTACTTGTAGATTCCTGATGCAGATATCTGTTCGAAGATTGTATCCTGTGGACTGCATGGCATTATATCCCAGAACATAGAAGTCTTCATAACCACCACTGTGAGGGCCTGAAATCCTACAAATGTTTGTTCCTCAAACAGATGTGCTGGAAATATTATATTTATATGTGCCTGAAGTCATGTGATATTATATTGCCCAAACTGCCTATGTATTATTTCTATGCTAATATGTGGCTGCTATTTGAGATCTTGCCAATATTCATAATTACTCTGCTAATACCTGCACACTATTTGAGACCTAATCACTATTTTCCACTTTCTCTATTTTATTACCCAGCCACTATTTACAGTTTGTACTGTATTATTATGCCACCATTTAAGATGGCGACCACTATTTATGGTAGTCTTATGCTATATCTGATTACATTTGAGCCTAGGCTACTGTTTATTCTTCAATAATTAATTAAAAATATATGCATTATATAATAGATAATGTTGAGCATTATCATATTGTACCAGTGATTCAAGAGATGTCTAAAACCTCCAGTGCCAAAGAGATCAGATCATATACTAATTATGTTCTGTAATATAGAGGTAATCTAAGTGCTGCATCTGTCTGTCTGTCTGTTCCAGGGACCTGAGTAACAACCAGATCTCAATACTGTCCAACTTCTCATTTGTGAATCTCACCAAGCTTTCAACTTTGTGAGTATGGCTGATGTGAACCATTCAATAGTTATATTTTTGCTTAACCTACTTTCCTTATTCTATAAGGAAATTGGTATCAAGTGTGCTTATGCATCCACCTGTGTTTTTGACTAATAAAAGTTAAAGATCATGAATTGTAACTTTTTGCAAATCTTTGTCAGAAATTATAATCTATGGGTGAGCCGTCATTACATTGCACCGGATTTTAATGCAAATTCATTTTCTTTCTTTCTTTCTTTCTTTCTTTCTTTCTTTCTTTCTTTCTTTCTTTCTTTCTTTCTTTCTTTCTTTCTTTCTTTCTTTCTTTCTTTCTTTCTTTCTTTTTTTTTTTTTTTTTTTTTTGCAACCAAAGCATATGCTCATTTGGATATATGTACGACTTACTTCATTTCTTCTAGGAGACCTCTGAGCAAAATGAGGTAAAATTTCCCGCCCAAGTACTTTCCAATGCCTCCAGTAGATTGGGAAGTTATCGGGTACCACTGCCAGCCTCGCTGGCTGAACGGGGCTGATAGTGAGCACCAGTACCGGCAGGGTATGGCGACTGGTAGAATATCAAAGGAGGCCGTACAATAGACTATTAGTCATGGTGCATGGGAAAACCTACCCCCTCCAATAATAATAATAATAATAATAATATTAATACTTCATTTCTTAAATTTTAGACATAGTTTGATGGTGCATATAAACGTGAGGGGTGATTTATTGCAAATATTATATTTTTATCCCTTAACAAGAATGAACAATCTACTCCATACCTTCTTGTGACAGAACAATTTGAAACCACAAATAGATTTGCAGTTTCTGAATTTTTTATCGATTCCATGAATTTACTTTGTCAAAATGACATTCAGTATGAGCGTGTATTGCTCTTTGTGACTGATGCTGCAAATTATATGATCATAGCCGGTACTGCTCTTAAAGTTATATTACCTAATATGACACATTTGACTTGCCTTGCTCATGGGTTGCAGTGTGTTGCAGAAATAATTCGTGTAAATTTTCCGCTTGTTGACAATTTGGTGTCTTCTGTGAAGAAGGTATTTGTTAAGGACCATATAGAAAAGAATCCTTTAAAGCAGTTGCATGGAATGTTCCGCTTCTGCCAGAACCAATTTTAATGAACTGGGGCACATGACTGTATGCAGTGAGTTATTATACTGAACATTTAGAAACAGTTAGGAATGTCATGAATACATTTGATCCCAAAAGTGCAGCATCCATTCAAATTGCCCAGGATGTACTAAAAAGCAGAACTAGAAACTAATCTTTCCTCTATATCTGCTCACTTCTCTCATCTTCCATCCGCCATTTCCTCACTGGAGCCAAGCAATAGAAATACTACTTTATATCAATCGTTAAGTGTATTCAAAACTACTGTTTCCAAAGTGAATTTGGTTCCTGGAAGAACTGGTGAATCAGTAAAGATAAAAGGACACAGCATTTTTTTAAAGCCAGGATATGAACAAATTTGTGAAATTGAAGAAATTTTATCCTGTAAACATACTGAACTGCCAAGTAAAAATTCACTCACAGCGGAGCAAATGGTAGCTTTTGTATAAGCACCCATAAGTCCCTGTGAGGTGGAAAGAATTTTTTCCCACCATAAGGACAACATACGAGACAACAGGAGGTGACTTACCATGAAAAACCTAACACATTTAGTAATTGCGAACTGCAGCAGAAGAGAAGTATAAAGCTTGTAGTGCTAAATGTGAGTACCGTTGTTTTTTTAACTTGTAATGAAAAAAGTTGGCTTTGTTACATGATTTATATTTGAGTATAGCTTTTCATTTCAAGTGAATCATTCAGTGATTACATAAAATTAACTTAAATGTTGATTTGTTGGTCTTAAAGTAATGTAAAATCAATTATTTGGTATGAAAGAAACTAGTGAAATGCTACATTTGGAGCATTGCTTTGTATGGGGCTGAAACTTGGACACTTAGGGCAAAAGATCAGAAACACCTGGAAAGCTTCGAAATGTGGTGTTGGAGAAGGATGGAGAAGATCAGTTGGACCGATTATGTGAGAAATGAAGAAGTGTTATTTAGAGTCAGTGAGCAGAGGAATATCCTACACGAAATAAGAAAATGGAAGGCTAATTGGATTGGTCATGTTTTACGCAGAAACTGCCTTCTAAAAGAAGTTATTGAAGGATAGATAGAGGGGCGGATAGAAGTGGGAAGAAGACGTAAGAAGATGCTGGATGACCTTGGGGACAGAAGAGGATACTGTCATTTGAAGGAGAAAGCTCTAGATCGCATTAAGTGGAGGAATTGTTTTGGAAGAGACTGTGGACCTGTCGTGTGACAGATTAATGACAGATGAATGAATGAATGAATTTTTATGCACATATTTTACATATATATTTGAGAAGTTTTTCTTGCATAAGTGCATAAATATTTAAGGGATTATTAGGACATAGAAATCCGGCCCTTTCTTATTACCCATTTCATCTTTAAGCCATTTGCCACACTGTACACATGGAGGCAAAATATACTAGGCATGATGTTTAATTTACATAATGTGAAGAAATTCTAGGAGATTGGTAGAACATGAAAAAACATAGGGTCAAAGGATTATTTCGAAGTAATAATAAAGTGACTTTCTGAGTCAAATGAAGCATAGATGGTTGGTATTTCTAGATATTTGGAGTATCCCCACTTCTCCCCTTTGTTACTGCAGATAATTTAGAGTTCATTTGAAATTGGTCTTTGAGGAATAATCTGTAATGTGCGTGGAGTTTAGTTATACTACATTGTACTCAGTTACTTCAAGTGTTCATGTATTATACCCTTGTGTATGCTTTTACAACTGGAAATTCAATGAATTGAACATGTGATTAATGTGCGCAGCTCCACAACACAGTTTTCTTTCTTCTGTACAGGATCATCAGTTATAACAAGTTGCAGTGCATCCAGCGTGATGCATTGGCTGGACTGGAGTCACTTCGCATCATGTAAGTAGACACTCATCATTTCATACATGAGTTTTGCTATGCAGTCTGTAGATTGTTTGGGATTCCCAGCCCTTCCTTGGCCTTGTAGTACATGTCCTCATGATTTTAACTAAATAATCCCTTTAACACTTCTTAATGCTCAACAGGAGAGTGTCCTCTGCTACGCTTAATGTCTTCAAGTATAGTGTAGAGGGAGATATTGTCACTTGGTGTGGAGTGACTGTAGATAGGGTTTGGACTTGTAATCAGATTTATTCGACACTTTAAAATGCAACTCATGGGTACACTTCACAGATCACTAACACACAAAGACTAATGTTCTAAGTCATTGTTTGCACTGTACTACTTGGTAGTGTCTTCCAACAGTGGATGTTCCTCTGGTTCCAGGCTCACATCCTTGCAGGCTGGCAGCCATCTCGCACCACCCTCCTATTCTTCTAACTGCCATCTCAGGACTCTCTTGTAATTGCAGCTGGTCCTCATTATATAGCCTCAGCATAGAACGCACAGAAAACATCTCTTCCATTATTGCGGCATGTCAGTTGTGGTGATCATGTGATTTCTACTGAGCCATTGCTTAGCAGTGGGTGTGTTTGCAGGGCCATTCTATAAGAATGGTTGTCTCTGTTGGCTTCACAATTCGAGCTCTCAGCAGACATGACACATTACTCCCTCCTTAAGGCTGCTCATCCTGATTAGCGTATCAGTGTGTTATTGTTCCTTTTGTTTCCAGGGAGAAAATATCTGGGAGTGGCTGGTACTTCGACAGCGCTGGCATGCCAGCTGCTAGTAGTAGTCTCTTATTCTGTTTGATTGGGGGCCAAGTCCTTCACAATGTCCAGTCACTCATTTTTGGCAGCCCAATGGAAAACTTAGCTGCTCTCTTCACAACCTCCAGTCTGATGATTTGTCCAAGAGCCTCATAGAATGTCTCCTTGCTTTCCAGATGTAGGTCCTGTCACCTGCTTTGTCCTCTGATCCCATTGCTGCAATTCAGCTGCACCTGACGTCTGTTCCTGAACTTCGGTCCTTCAGGGTTTCCTCATACAATATTGTCCCTGGTCCTTCTTTTCCGTGGGCTCTGGTATCCCACAATTGATTGCTGTTTCTGAGATTGATCCTCCTGTGCTCTGACAGTCTGCATCACAGCCTCTTCATTGGGAATTTCGTGATGTGCTGCTACAGCCTCTGGTTGTTCTGGTTAAACCTCAATTATGTGACCTTCAATTTTTTCTGATTTGCTGATTAGCCCCTATATTTCATAGACAGGCATCCCTCATTTCTAGAATGACATTCACCAGGTCTTCCAGCCTTTCTGAACTGGCCAAAGTCTTCCATCATTTGCTCCATTTTTGTTATATGGCAATATACGTATCCAATGCAGTCTTCAATCCAATCCAGTTAATCCAATTATCCCACTTCTGACACCTAATTGTCACATGATAGAGTATGACTGTAGATGGGGTTTGGATTGGTAATCCATTTATTGGACACTCAGATACACAACTCATGACTAATCTTTACAAATCACCATCACACAAAGACTAGTGTTCTCAGTCATAGTCATCGCGGCACTGCTTAGTAACGTCTTCCAACAGTGGACAGTCCTTTGCTCTGGGGCTCACGTCCTTACAGGCTGGTGACTATCTTGCACCAACCTCCTACTCTTCTAACTGCCATCTCAGGACTCTCTCATAATGGCAGCTGGTCCTTATTATATAGCATCAGCTATCTCCCATTATTGCATACATGTCTGTTGTGGTGATCATGGGGGGGGCCACTGAGACATTGCTTAGCAATGGGAATGTTTGCAGATCTACTCCCTAACAATGGCTCTTTCTGCTGGCTTCACAGTTCTGGCTTTCAGCAGGCATGCCACAATATTTTAACTCATTGTTCTGATAGAATCAGGTTACAGTTATGTAAATACTACAGCACGGGGGTAATCAGGCTGTTTTGCCGGAAGTATTCATTTGAATGTAATTTATATGAACATAACACATGGTCAGGTTTGAGAAGTTATTTGATGAAGAAATAGTTTGTTTTATATTCAAGCAGATTTGTAACCTGTGAAGCAGTTTGTTACCTGTAACAGTTTTGAACATGAGTTTAATGCTGTCTATGCAGAGATGCAGATTTGGTTATGAGGGTAATACGAGTACACATTTCCTGCTTGAAAAGAAAAAAAATCAGTTTAACAATTTTCTAAATTTTGTTTCTTAAAAAGAATCCCTTCTCTGTTTCAGCTCCCTTCATGGAAATGACATTTCAGTGATTCCTGATGGAGCATTTGCTGATCTCAAGTCCATCACACACTTGTAAGGAGATCGTTATATTTTAGTCAGTTTTCTATATTTAGTATGGTTTCATCGTGTCCATGTGTGTATCCCCTGTAATGAATTTGAACCATTTAATGGATATTTTTGGGGTGAACAACATCTTTATACTTCAGCATGGCAGCCAAGAACGCTTCAAAGGCGAAATCAGTTATTAAATCACATAATGTAGGGTCCTAAAATTTTGTCTGGAATATATCTTCCAACTACTGCATATGAAACTTATAGTAACGTAATTATTTCGGCCATGCCATAGCTCAAGTGGTTAGTCGCTGGCTTTCCACCGTGGCATCCCGGGTTCGATCCTGGGTCTGGTCAAGTGGAATTTGTGGTGGCTAAGTGGTGCTGGGACAGGTTTTCTCCAAGTACTTCAGTGTCCCATGCCAATCTTCATTCCCCCAGTTGCTCCACAATCACCCTCACCTATCATCTGGGGCTGGTACAATAGGCCAGAAGTGGCTACAATAAAAAAAATGTAATTACTTTGTGTATTACAGTTATATGGGATTTGTTTGTTTGTTTATTTAATTAGGTTTCTGATTGAATGCAGATCCTAATGAATCCACTGGAGCTAGGCACATGAAATTCTCCATGGAAATGAATCATTAATGTAACCTACAAATTTTGTATAAAATATTTTTTCATAGAATACTAAAAGTTGCAGACAGGGTAATGATATAAACTGTTGAGGTTATGTCTGGAAAACTTCAGCATAGTTTAAATCCATGCTAGTGGAAAATATATGCATAAATGGATCTCTAATTTTTTGAAGTATTAATTTAAAGTTGTTGCTCCTCCAATCACAGAGACTGAAACATTTGAAGGAAAACAGGTTTCATTAATTTCATCACAGAACTCATTGTTTTAGTAAATTTTGTTATAAACTCAACTTTTATTTTATTTTTTTCTTCTCAACTTGAAAGGATAAATTAGTTTCACTGGTTTGGATTTCAATGTTTGACAGAGCTCTTGGAGCAAACCCCTTCCTCTGCGACTGCTCACTTCGTTGGTTGGCCGACTGGGTGAAGCGAGATTATGTGGAACCAGGGATTGCTCGTTGTGTTGAGCCACACACAATGAGAGACAAATTATTGCTTACAACTCCTTCCTCTGCCTTTCAGTGTAAAGGTAAGTCTACAAGAAGACAGGAGATGGCATTTCTTATCAGATTGTTTTATTAGCATGATCAGTACACTTCTATATCAAGTATCAGTATTTTCAGAGAATTATAACTGAACATGCCCTTAGATATTCACAGCTGGAGTTTAATGATAAGGCTTTGGGAATAAGCCATTTTGAATGTTGGATTATTTTTAACGTTTTGGCAAATGTTGCAGTTACCATATTCAAGGTTGATGTGTACAAGGGTTTTTGAAAGTCCTTATATAGATCTGACAGTGAGCAGCAACTGGGAGGTGAAGACATGATTCATTGAAACAGAGGAGTAGGGTGCTATCCAATAGAGACAAACCACATGGTTGATGAAAAGAGGTGATAAAGAAAATTGTTTGGAAATGATGTGGGCGTGAGAAGAGGTGATAAAAAATGTTTCAGCAACCCCATGTTTAGGACAATAGTTGAGAGAAAAGTTTTTATCAACCACATGATAAGGGAGGTGATGAAAAAGGTTTTAGTAATCACATGATTATGAAAATAGGTGATTAAAAAGGTTTCAGTGATCACATGACTAAGAAACAGTAACTGAATAGAACTAAATAATGATCTGATAGCAGAATCTGAAGCTTCAGTACTACTGTTGCCACATTCTGGAATTTGATGCAAACCTGAGCCAGTTCTCTCCGTCTTGAACTTCCAAGAGGTTTTCTGAATAAAGTTCTTAATAAAATCCTTGTCTTCCTCATCTTATTACATCATAGCTTCCAGGATGTTGCTTTCCTAACAATACCAGATGGCCTGTCTAAATCATATTTTTTAGTGTTGTTAGTTAACCTTAATATACATACATGTACAGTTCCTAGTGTTGCGAAATTATAATGACTGACTCATGCATTCATGGAGCTGAGCCCTTCTTGAGAGGTTGCCAATTGTGCAGATACCCAAGAAATTCCAACATTTTATGGAATCCGGAGGTTCATTACCATATTCACAAGAGCCCTCAATTGATCCTTGTCCTGAGCCAGATCAATCCAATCAATACCATCACACCCTATCTCTCTAAGTTCCATTATAACATTGTCCAACCACCTATGTCTTGACCTTCCTAGTGGTCTCTTCTGGCTTACCCACCAATATCCTACATGCATTCCTCTTCTCCCCCATCCATGCTACATGCCCTGTCCATCTCATCCTCCTTGACTTGATCACTTTAATTATACTTAGTGAAGAGTACAAGTTATGAAGCTCCTCATTATATAGTTTTCTCCAATCTCCCATAACTTCATCTCTCTTCAATCCAAATAGTCTCCTCAGTACCCTGTTCTCAAACACCCTCAATCTATATTCCTCCCTTAATGTCAGAAACTAAGTTTCACACTCATACAAAACCAAAGAATCAGCTTACTTTTAAAGGGTGATGTGATGCAAGAATATGGTTGATAAAATTAGATGATGAATATGAATGGTATTAACCTTTGCCAAATTAAGAACCAAATTAGTTTAGACTGTTCCGGCGTAGTCTTGTGGACAAATTTGGAATGGGGTAAAATGTTAGAATGCAGTGACAAGTTAGCTACGTTTGTGTAAGTTGGATTTATCTGCATTAGTACCAGTAACCATAATTAAATTTCAAGTTTAGTCATGGTTTATGCATACCAGAATTAAGGTCAGTAACTCTAACTAATGCCCAAATTCAGAAACAGTTATAAATGGTCACTTTATTGTAAAACTCTTGTCAGAATAGTACGAGGCAAACTTAATCTGTATGATAAGACTGCAGAGTTTGGATCAAGTTTACGTGATCTCAGCAAGAAAGAACAGTTTGCATGAAATTGAGTATGTTAGATCACTGCAGAAAAGAGATTGGAAGGCTTTGCCTGTATCTTGATATCTGTTAGTTTCATTTGTTTTTATTGGATAAAGTAAGTTGTTAGAACCCATGTTGGATTCCAGGCCGTGTCAGCTATGAGATCTTGGCCAAGTGTGATGCCTGCTTTACATTCCCATGTGCGAATGGTGGTAAGTGTGAACCACTGCCTGAACGTCAGTATGTATGTCGCTGTGCACCAGGGTACCATGGCCAGCACTGTCAGTATATGATCGATGCTTGTTATGGCAATCCTTGTCGTAATGCAGGGACGTGCAAAGTTCTTGAAGAGGGTCGATTTAGGTAAGCAAGTTGTATGCCCCATGGTACCATTAGCCTCCTTTCAGTTTTGCAATAAAATCTTATGCTTTTCTATGTATCCAGTCCATCCAAATGATGGGCCAGAGGTGGAAGTCTAACTGAGCTTTGAGATTTTAATAGCAGTCTCACTCATCAGACATATTAAATATCTGATGCAGATTGATGAGTACTGAGAATTTATAGTGATAGCATGTCAGATGGAACCAAAATACACTAGCCCCTCTTTTTATAAAATTGGTAATTTCATGAAAATAATTAATGAAGCAAAAATGCATTTGCCAGGAAATTAATTTCCCATTAATATAGAGAGAGTCAATAGGACTATAATGACCAAAGATAATACATACATTACATAAGAGTAAGTAATACTAAAGGAATGTAAATGTATAGGACATATATATGTATGTATTTATTTCTATTAATAATTATAATGAGTGAGCTCTTGAAGAGAAAAATGTATTGAGATAAAATTCATGTAGATGGCTAATGCTCTGTGTACAGCAAGCAATGCAGTATAAAGGCAGTAACTGGTGATGTGGAAATGGTAGAGAGTAAACCTGATACTTGGGGATATTGTAAAAAGAAGTGTTCCTTTGTTTGATGCAGGCACACTTAAGTAGGGATAATTTTTCCTAGCAGTACAAAACAGCATGCTGTACCTGTACTTTTTATGATACAAATATGAAAATAATGTTAATAAAAATTAGAGAATTGTGGACAAAATTAAGGTAAACGTTTTGCTTCAGTTTTTGACGTTTCTGATTTTCATTATTTCTGGAATTTTTGTCACTCCTTCTTGTGACATCTGAATACTAGTATCTTTTTTTTTCCAGAAAATTAGAACTGTATGGTTTTATATATAGACACACACACATGCACTTGTTCATAGAATTCTCAAATAATTTGAGGACTCTAATGCAGAAGTACTGTAAAAATATTCTTTGAATTAATGTTAACATACAAGTTAAATTCAGTAATGGTACCACTTCCTGTCTTTTTCCCCTAGCTGTCACTGTCCTGCAGGCTTCACAGGGGACAGATGTGAAACCAATGTGGATGACTGCAACAACAGTAAATGTGAAAACAATGCCACTTGTGTCGACCTGGTGCAGGCATATGAATGCCGCTGTACACCTGGATTCATGGGTAAGTTTTTCATTATCATCCATTAACCCTTTCCAGTCGGATATTGATATATATAATCAACATGGTGGCAGTGCTTCCATGGATGAATGTTGATATATGGTCGATAAAGTTTGTTTAGAGTTTATGGGTCATATGTTGATCACATGTCACTAGTTGGCTCTGTATACTATAGCAACACATTCATAAATGTTTTGTCTGCCTCCTCCTACCATCTGGAAGTCATAATTTGAACTTCTTGAGGTACAGATGCCATTTATTTATTACTGCACATCAGTATTATTAACATGGCTTTACATATAGGTAGACCTCTGCCTTCTCACATGAAAAAACATAAATATAATCCCGTGTGTGTCGATGAATAATCTGTTAGTGATATGATAAATGAAGAAATCGATATACACTCTGAAGAGATGAATTTGGAAAATAAGGTCAAAATATGAATGAAGAATCGAGCAACAAATCATCAGAAAGTGAGTGTGAGACTGAAACAAGTGTTTTACATATTGGCGGGTGGGAAGATATGACAATGGGCAACAAAAAAGCCCAAGGCATACACATTTACTAAAAATGCAGGATCACAATTTAACCTTCTACAAGATGCAGAGCCCAAGGATTATTTTAGTTTACTTTTCAATGATGGGATTTTGAATAACATTGTTATAGAGACAAACAGATACGTGAGACACAAAATTTTGGAACTTCATCTTAGCCTGAGGTCCATTTGGAGTAGGTGGAATTGAGGGTTGAGGTCTTCAAAGATATGTGAAAAGAGACAGCAGTTGACAGAAGATGGAGGAGTCCAGTTCGAGTTTGTTGAGCGTGTGCAGTGCAGTGCAGTGCAGTGCCGTTGAGGGTTGCATTGTGGAGTGTTAACCAGTGGGCAACAGAAACTGAAGATTCATTACCAGGAAGTGTCTAGTGAAAACACTGCAGAGGAATAGCCATTGTTGAGATCTGTTACTAAGTAAGAACTAGGGAATATTGACTAAGAAGACTTGGTGTGGAGTGATTTGTAGTGTGTAAATCAGCAATGGTGTTAAAGTTATTTGTATTTACGTCCTGTAAGTGGTCAGTAAATCTATTCATTAATCCAGACCCTGTCTGTAGTTGCTAATACACATGACAGTATATTTGGCATATGTTCCCAGCTTCGTTTTTCCACATAGTCTTTGGCTTCGACAGTACATGTTTCATTACTTATGCTATGAAAGAAATTCTGTAGTTGGTCATTGTAATCCATGTCCACACTATTTTATCATTAAATTCATCAAATTTTTATCTAGATTCTACTTTCACAAATGTCCTACCATCCCAGTTTTAGATTTCATTAGTTCTTAATTTCATAACATGCTTTACAATTCTTATATATGCTCTCCTGGTCTGCATATGTCTCTCAGTCCATATCTGAGTTTCTGAAAATATGCCAAAATAGCCAGGTAATATATATATAAATCACTTTATGTGCATAAATAAATAAATAAATAAATTTATTTATTTATTACATAGCAATAATCAAATTCATACTTCTCACTTTAACCTTATAATTAAGTAGCTTTGAGCGAAATTGCTCAAATTATTCTTATCCTGTGCTTGGCAGTGTACTGATTAAGGTGCTGAAGCAGGTTGTGCTATGATTAAAATTTTTTCACAAATGCTCCTGATTTCAAAACATCAATAGCAGAATGGCATTTCTGAGAACCCAGGTGAAGATTATGAGTTTCAGTCCCCATATGTGATGGTACCCCACATACATACACTTTCCATTTATTTATTTATTTTATATTTTATTTTTGTGATTGAGAATAAGATGACATCATGCCAAAATTAATGATACAATATTTACTCATAAACTTCATTCACCTTTACCCAAAAAATCTTATCTTAAAATTGTGGTCCCAAAAAATGTGACTACTGTTTTTCTGAGTGTAATATTTTACATGTTAGATTGAAATGATTATAGCTGAGTGTACTGTGATAACACAGTATGAATATTTGTGTCTACAGACTCAACTGTGCAGTTACTTGATGAACACTGAGATGAGAATGTCCTTTGATAAAATTTGTATTTACATAGTTTTCACAGAATAACATTGAATGTGGTTTGGCAACATGGTATGGACATGAACTCCATAATCTGATTCCTTGTTGAGCATTGAGATAAAAAGTCCCTTGATAAATTTTATTCAGTGCATAATTTTCACAGAAAATATGGAATGTGATATGGTAACATACATACATCAGCGTTTCAGAGTATTCATAAGTGTGCAACTGGCACTGAACATAAAACTTGTCAAACAACATGGTATGAATATTTGCATCTACAGACTTTAGTACATAGTTCACTGCTTGAAGGTATAATTGAGAGCTGTCAACACAACAGTTGATTATAAGCCAATGTTAAAATATTTAACATTTGGGTTATTTTATTTACATCCCACTACATGTTTCAGTATGCAAAGATAATCGTTAGGTTGTTTACAAATATATATATATATATATATATCAATATTGAAATGTCAAAATGGATCCATTTTTTACATTTACCCATAATATTACAACCTTAATTTTAATATTAAGTTTTTAGTGTGGGATATATCTTGAATAATATGTGTTATGTGGTAAAGGTTAAATTTAAAGGTTAAAGTTGGACCTTGTGATGTCAGGTGGCAGAGGCTTAAGGCCCAGGATCAACTGAACCCCATATGCCATAGCACTAGTGGCTTTGGTGATATAATTGGCTCTCTGATGTGCAGCACTGAAAGCGTTCAAGCTCTTACAGTTGTATTTTTGATAAATTTCCATGGGTGCATTTGACCATTTTTGCTCGTGTTACATGGCATTCATATTTTAAGAAATGACTGCCAGTACTTTCCATAGTTCCTACTGCTTATCTTAGACTCAGACACCTCTCTCCTAATATTATTCACTTTTTAAAACAGGGCTGTAAAATCTTTTGAAGGTTGCAGTATTAGGCTAGGCAATGAGTATATACACGTATATCTCATTATTCCACAATAAATATTCTGTCTTCATTTGAAATGGCTGCAATGTGTTTATTACAGGTGAATATTGTGAGACCAAAATTCCTTTCTGCACCAAGGAGTACAATCCATGTCGGAATGGAGCTCGCTGTGTGGATCACTTCACACATTACACGTGTGAGTGTGTGGTGGGCTACTCTGGGGAGAACTGTACCATCAACATTGATGACTGCCAGAACAACATGTGCCAGGTTTGAAAGCTTACAAGTACAAGATATGATGTAAATGCATAAGCGTTTATTTAAAAGTGGTTCATGAAACTTAGTTATGGTCTTCATAATTTATAACCTTTATCTGATACTGTTATGATGATTAGCCCTAAATCAAGAAAAATTAAATAGGCAGGATACGATTTCACCTGACGAGCTTTCATGGGGCGAGGCAAACTTGAAGTCTTCCACTGGCTCGATTGTTGCTTTGATTCAGGATCGTAAGCATAGCACCAGGTTTCGTCACCGGTGATAATTTTTGAAAAAAAGTTTTGATCATTTCAGGACTCTTCTTTCAAAGCACAGCATGCTTCCACGTGACCTTGTTTTTGTTCAGCAGTCATGGCACGAATTTCGGAGCCACCCTTTTCATTCCCAAATCTTCTGTCAAAATTCGCTGAACTGAGCTCCAAGTCACTCCCGACAGCTCCACAATTTCTTCAATGGTCTGTCGTCGATCTTCCTTGATGATTTCACGAATTTTTTCGA